TAAGTCGTAAAGGGGGAGATTCCAAAAGTATTTATCAATACTAAATAAATAATCAATTATAATGCTCTGTTGTTATATTAAAATTGTGTTTATCATAGTACTAAACAATTATTTCTGTATCTGAAACGGAAAAGTACTACAAGGTTCCATTAAATAATTTTAAAAGCCATTGCAGAATCGAGCGGAGTAAAGATGATTGACCGCCGGACTGGTGCTGACAAAGTCTTACCTGTGGCGTATAATGTACTAAAATAAATAATATTATTAACAAAAAACAAATCTTTTAAAACATTATAGTGGTAGTAGTTTTATTAGGTATATGAGTACATTTTATTACAGAAAACATGAAGTGCTAAGTCCATGAGAAAAATGCGCTGTAGTTAAGCTTAAGGAACTAAGTGTACGATTTTTTAACGCAATCAAACTAACGATAATATATTTCTTTCAATTAAAATATACTTGTAATGTCAATAGTTTTACTTATTTTCTTTACACATGATTGAGATAATATTAAAATTTAGTCATGATCAATGTACTATTTTATTTTTCAGACATCAATTCTCAAACCGAATTTTCCATTTTCAATATTGATACAATTGCTTTTTTAAAATGTACAGATACAACAGTTTTGGGTAAGTTTTTCATATCTTTTATTGATAGAAATTCCTGCGGTGGACAATAGTCGCATACTGGGACTACTTACCCTTAATTTGTCCTCACGCATACAAGCTTGATCATTAATGTGTGAAAAGTATGAACATACTTGTAATATATTGAGAATTGTGATGTCAAGGGAACTCACTCTTCTTGTATTAGTCTTATATTTATAATGTTGTTTTGAGTGATGTCCCTTGTATGTCATGAGTCTTCCGGGTTTTCGAATAAAGCTTAGATACATCAACATGGCGTCATCGTCTAGTGCACGGGTTTCCCAACCTGGGGGGTCGCGACCCCCTTGGGGGGTCGCGAAGGCCTTTCTGGGGGGTCGCCAACTGGTATACTAAACCTTTGTAATGAGAAACAAAACATAAATATTTAGAAGGATATCTGAAATTCGGCTTTACTAACATCACTGGAAATGGAATAGGGAAGAGGCCATGCGTACTGTACTAAGTTGTTCTCAGTCACGGGTTTATGAAATCTCCAAAACTTAAACGTCATTTCAGACGAGTCATTCGGAACATACCAAAAACAGGAAGTTTTCACCAAGGAAACACAGCATTAGTGCAAGCATCACATGAAGTCGCGATACAAATTGCCAAGCAAAAAAAGCACAATAGGAGAAAATCTCATCAAACGCTGCATGTTGAAGATGGTGAAGTGTTAATTCTTGGGGATTCTAGTGCAGTAAAGATGCAACAAATATATCTGCCTAATAATACTATTCAGCGGCTTTTAGCAGACATGTCAGTAGATTTTAAATAAAAATGTTTTAATGAAATCAAGCTTTCACCATTGTTTGCTTTTCAAGTTGATAAATCAACAGACGTGAGTTCGTGTTCGATGTTGCTAGTCATTTATTCATTCATATGATAGCAAAGAAGAGCTGCTATTTTGTGAAGATAGCATGGAGAAAATAAATACGTTTTATGAAGCTGGATGATTAAAATAGGTTAAATTAGGTGTGGGTTTGTACGGATGTGCGCCATATATGTTTAGGTCAAAATCGGGCTTTCAGAGAACCGAAAAGATTTAGCTCCCTAACCACTCCCCTCGCCATCAAGACTCCATTGCTAGAAAATGTCATAAATTAAATATGGAGCCTTCAAAGAACTAAGCAAAGACAAGAATAAAGATCACGATGTTCTGCTTTTCTACACTACAGTACGCTGGCTGTCAAACGAAATGTTGTGAATCGTGTTTTTGAATTTAAATCTGAAATCAAACTGTTCTTGGAAGTGCAAACGAATCAAGACCTTTTGGTATACTTAAAACGACATAGAGTAGTTGGAGAGCGTATCATACCTAGCAGATATATTCGAACATCAACATAAGCTTAACCTGAAGCTTCAGAAAAAATGAAAGAATATTATCGCTTTCCATGATAATCTCGGGGCATTTTTATCAAAGCTGCAAAATTGGGCGAAGAAAATAAATCTAGGAAATATTGTAAGTTTGAGAAACTCTGCAGTGTGGTAGATGAATCTGATAGTGAGATAATTAAATTTTTGAAAGAAGCAATTTCTAGGCATCTTGAATCTCTTGTAAACGAACTGCAGCGCTATTTCTCTGAGCTGAAAAAAAGAAGAATCTGCATTGACACATCTGCTTCCTTTGATGTTTGCCAGCGTTCCCGATGAATTACAAGAGGAATTCTTTGATTTGCAGAATGATTTCGCGTAACATGAAAAACTGCACACACAATTTTGGTGTAGTATTCATCATTCATACCCAAACGTAAAATTGATTGACTTTTCGAGAATATATTTTCAACCACTATTCTCCAATTAAAAACAAAATTAAGAAATTAATTGAATGTTGATGATGACATAGGTTGGCGTTAACAAAAACTTAACCACGAATGTTTAGTAAATAGGCATGCTATTTTACTCATGGTATTAAAACATATATCAAGGGTAGTTCATATTGAAAGTCTACTAGAAAATCTTATTTTAGTGCGTGTTAATTTCTATACTAATTTCGGCTTTTTTAATTCTATGGGGGGTCGCGGGTCACTTACTTTTTATAAAGGGGGTCGCCACTCAAAAAAGGTTGGGAACCACTGGTCTAGTGTATCATAATAAAAACACAATCTATTACAATACTCATCATCTTTTACCGCCGGTGTTCGGTGCACATGGGAGGGGGGGGGGGGCACAGAAAGTTGGGTCCATTATTTCTGCCGGTTTCTGGTAGATTTCTTGGCAGCTCCCCAATTTGCCACATAATACTATATCTTTCCATTTTTTTTTTTTACCTTCGGAAGTCCAAATTAGCGTTGATAGAAGTGGCTGGTTTACAAAATTTAAAGCCATATAAAGAAGGCGTATAACTGTTGATAAAGTCTCCATTTGGTCTTAGCGGTGGCGTGATTTAATTTTAATGGTGTAATCACTTTCATAATTGACAATTTGTAAAACTTTTCTTTTTATCTATTTGAGTATAGTTTATTTGCCAGTTGCATTCTAATTAAACTGTTAACATTCATAAAAAAAACAACACTTTTTTGAAAATGCAAAACTTTGACACAGTGTTTCTTCCAGACTTTTTTCTCAGGAGGGGGGGGGGGGGGGGGGGGCACTTGAAATTTTCGGGGGACTTTTTTTTCGTTGACTTTCTTCGGGGGGGGGGGGGGCGACACTGTTAAAAGTATATATTTTCTATATAAATTATATAAATTTCATTTCGTTCGGGGGGGGGGGGGGGGGGGGGGGTTTGGGGCGGTAGAATTTTTTTCGGGGGGGGTGGGGGGGGGGGGGGGGGGGGGGTCCTTCCCCCCCCCCCGCCCCGAAGAGATGCCTGGAAGAAACTCTGCTTTGACACCCCTCTCCTTGTTTCTTCCCTCCCCTCATTCTAGAACTTTTTTTTTAATTAAAAGAAGGTAGTATTTAAAACTATGTTTACCTACAACACGGCAGTTAACATATACCATACATATTTTGTTTTACATTTAATTCTAACATGAAAACAAACTAAAAGGAAAAGCAATTTTTCCTATTGTAGTTTTATTTTTGTATGATAATTAGTATCATTTTTTACTACTATAATATTACATTTTTGTGATGAATAGTATGTTTAAGTTAATTTGATTAATTGTACTTTACGCCAATCAGTGGCGTAGCGAGGTCGGGTGTCACCCGGTGCGGCACTTAATGGTGTCCACCCCCCCAGAGGCATAGCGACCCTTCCCAGGGACAAATTTTCAAATTTGATTGCACCCCCCCCCCCCTCCAAACTTTCGATTTGCATCCCCACTTAAACTTTCTATTAGCACACCCCCCCCCCCCTCAAACTTTCGATGTGCACCCCCCCCTCAAGTTTTTCTCTATATATTTTGCTATTTTTTGCCTTGGTGTCACCCCCCTAAATGGTGTCACCCGGTGCGGTCCGCACCCCCCCCCCCCCCCCCCCCCCCCCTCGCTACGCATCTGACGCCAATTACAAAGTGTAACGGACATTTTAGATTTGATAAATAATGAATTTTCTACATTTTAATTTAAAGTGTATGCACAAAAATTCATACATTAATTTAAAAATTTTAAACAATAGTGATCAAGTGCAGTTTCTTTTTTTTACTGTAAGCGAGTTTTTCACAAACATACATACAGTCCATGTCATTTAGTTATAGCCCAAATATATTTGTTGAATGTTATTTTTGACAGATTAGTATCCCTTTGAAGAATTAATTGTGCTATAATATTTTGGATTAAAAAAAAAACAATTTTATATTTTAGCACAATAAAGTAGCTAACGCAATTGACGAAAAAATGCAATTTTTCGATTTCTAGATCTGATGCAGGTGGGTTCAAGCGACAGTGATTTTAGAGACGCAAGGGTTTTGTTTGCTGGTCGAGGATCTAGTGGACAAAGACATATTGATGTAAAATCTCAGAATGAGCTTGTGGCATATGGCAGCAGGAGAGATCATTCGCAGACAAGAGCTGGAAGTGGGACTCAAGCTAGAGCTGATCAGGGCAACAGGCGAGGAGGATATAGAGGAAATGATAGAGGAAGTAGAGAACAACGTGCCCAGCGACCCATGACCTACGGCAGGCTGAAGACCTGGGCAGAGACACAGGATGCAGGGCAGCTTATCTTGTTTATGGCATCAGAGAAACAGCAGCTGGAGTCATTTCTATTGGGGGGAAATTATTAAGCATGATTGGTTTACTTTGCTGGTGAAAGCTGTCAATCATGGTATCACAGCCCAGCATCAAAAAGAGGCAATCAAGCAAGTTTTGGAGGTGCTTTTGTAAAAGTCGTTTCTTTGATCAACATCTTGTGATTTATACAATTGACAAAGAAGATTCCTATTGGCCAGATGCTTGTGGTTTCTTTACATGTATGACAAATATTATAAAGAAATTTTGGAAAAACTTCCAAAGCTTTCCATTACATGCGAAAGTGCAACAATAAATATATTAAACTCAGCTTGCGCTGTAGAGTCTGTTAGAGAAAACAAAGCTCTAATTGATTCCATTAAACTTCTACTCAGTCAGGCCAGAGAAGGTCGTGAATTAGCTAAAAAAAAGAATAATGAAAGAGGTCAAGCACAACGAGGATCTTTCCAAAAGGCAGGTCAAGATGAAAAACCCCCGGATAATTTTCTAGAGCTGCCAGTTGTACCAACAAAACTTGACTTACAGGCAGATGCCAAGCCATTTGTGAGGTGTGCAGTAGTAGATGGAGCTTATGAAAGTGTACATGACTACCTAGATATACAGTTCAGACTCATGCGGCAAGATTTTATTCTGCCCACTAAGAATTGGAATTAATGAATTCAAGAAAAATGGTTGCAAGGTAAATTTCAACAGCTCAGATTTAAGGATGTATTACAATGTACACATCGTGGGCACAGTATTCAAGGATGGGATTGATCATATTTTGCAATTTGATGTATCAAAACTAGGCTCTGTAAAATGGGAGTTCTCAAAACGCTTGATCTTTGGCTCCCTGCTGTGTTTATCAAAAGATAACTTTGAAACTGTAA